GCCGTATCAACCGCGTCGCACTACACTCCATGCTGGGGTTCAAGCTTATTGTTGCGTGGCTTGGGATTGGAATTGTGGTTAGCATCGTCCCCGAGTTGAGCGACTCCCGCCTGACCTGTCTAGATGTTCGGGACAATCAGTGGAAGCCCCATTCCGCTTTCGAAACACAAGGTACTTAGGCGTGTATGACCAACCTCTGGCTGCTCGCGTTCTTGGTTTAAGGTCTAAACGGTGCGTTCTCTAGGAAGCATCCATCCACCGTCTGGACGGGAGGAGGCCTGGAAAGCCAGATCCCATGGTACGATGTCGGGTGTACCGATGGAGCCGGAGTCGGCTGTACCGTAGTCACCGGAGATCAATATGATCTATTTGGCGGACCACGGCACTGAACGGGGATACGTGCAGAGACTTCCCCTTCCAAGGAGACGGGACAGTTGTGTAATGTAGCTAGCAAATTCCCTATGAACAGCAACATGAACCCGGCCTCATGCAGATATAATGAATACTTGGAGGGCTCAATATAAGGAGAATGCTACGATACTTAAGAATTCAGAGTAGCATACCCCTCTCCCCTGCACAGACGAATGTCGCTATGAATTCAAGCCTAGAGCAAGCTCAGCGGTCATGCCTACACGCGAGATTATCCGGGGGCGCTAGCGCCATCAAACCATCGTACACAGTATCGCAAGAAAAAGTAGGCCTGCCATGACTAGGGGCAGATGGATGGCGATGCCTCCATATGAAGGCAGAAAGGACGGTTTCCATCCATGCTGAGTCTGGAAACTAATACGGCACTGTAATTGACACAACAGCCAGATTGTCACATTGAGTAGACAAAGACAGACTGGCTCTGGTTTGATCTGAGTATCAGCAGTGACTGTGCATATTGCATCCAAAAGTGAGGTCTTAAAATACTCCACGACACGCACCATAGGTATCTGATCAGGGAACTAGCCTAGAGAAAGCAACTAGAGTTGATCCTACCGTAGATCTTGCTAGATGGCTTGGCTGCGTCAGGCTTACGCTCGCTGATTTGTGTTGGGTACTGGGTCTCGTTTAGTGGTACGTGTTGCTCGAATATCAGGCGCTTCGT